AACACCAAGGCCGACGCGCTCTTGAAGCTAGTCGATGCAACGGATATCACGAAGATGACAATTTACATTGAAGACTTGCTACAACCTAGCATAGAAAGGGTAGCAAAAGAGGTCACTCCTATTTTAGTTGCAAAACCGACCTAGATTGACCCACTAGTTGATTATTTGCACCATTGGACCCTACCAGCAGAATGCAATGCACCATGGAGGGTAGAACGGTAGTCAGCCCGCTATGTTATTATTAGCGAACATTTGTAACGTACGTCATTCACACTTCCCTACTTGTGGTGCCTGCATCCAACAAAAGCGGACCAAGTGTTATGTGAGATCCATGAAGGTCTCTGCGGAGGACACTTGGGGGGCAAGGCACTAGCCCAGAAAACCCTACAACAAGGCTACTACTGCCCCACAGTGAAGGCAAATGCAATGGAGTTAGTTCGGAAGTGTGAGAAGTGTCAGCGACACGCTAACATACTACGTCAGTCGCTGTTGTCCTGAGATACCTTACCAGCCCATGGCCATTTGCACAGTGAAAGATAGACATTCTCGGTTCCCTCCCACCTGCAACCAGGAAAATGAGGTTCTTAGTGGTTGTGGTGGATTATTTTACTAAGTGGGTGAAAGCTAAGCCGCTGGTATCCATCATAGCTCGCAACATCCAAATTTTTTTTTTGAGGAACATTTGTCTGCAAATTCGGACTCCATAGGGTACTAATATTAGACAACGAAAAGCAGTTCGAAGACATCAAGTTCCAAAACTGGTGTACCGAGATGGGAATCTAGCAGAACTTTACCTCGGTGTCCCACCCCGGGCGAATAGTCAAGCCAAAGTGATGAATAAGGAAATCCTTCATGGATTGAAAACTCGACTTCCCCAAACTAAAGGTTTGTGCGTAAACGAGTTGCCCAGCATTCTCTGAGCTTATTGAACTACCACCAAGACGACGACCGACAAGACTCCTTTCAACCTGACGTATGGGATGGAGGCTATCATCCCAACTGAGATCGAAGTGTCGGCCTTGTGATCTGAGACATATGATGAGGAGGCTAACGAGGACGAGCTGTGGACTAACCTTGACCAAGTGGAGGAAGTTCGCGACTTAGCCTACATTCGGACTATGGCGTACCAACAATGGGTAGCTCGGTACTATAACGCTCAAGTTAAGAGATGCCAATTTCGAGTTAGCAACCTTGTACTCAAAAAGGTTATGGTGCTTAATCACAGCATAGGAAAGATAGGTCCGAACTGGGAAGGCCCCTACAAAGTACTTAAGGTGATCGGTGAAGGCATTTACAAACTTAAAACATTGGAGGAGAAGCATGTACCTTGTGCGTGGAACATTGGTAACCTAAGGAGATACTACTTATGAGGAGTTCGTAAGTTTTGAGCTGCATCCACAAGAGCAAAAGTAGACCGCCCGCTAAATGAATAAGGGGAATCCAAACCGCTTGTAGCTCTAAGGCCCCCTATGCCGACCTGAAAGATGTCAACAGCTCAACAACTCGGCAACGTCTTGACTTAGCCAAAATCACAAGTTTAGTAGCTTCAATAGGGGAAGCCAAACCACTTTTAGCTCTAAGGCCCCCCTATGCCAATCTGAAAGATGTCAGCAACTCGACAACTTGGCAGCGTTTTGACTTAGCCAAACTCGTGAGTTTAGCTTATTTTATAGCGAAGGAAAGTAAAGGGCATAAAAGAAGGCATTGTTTGTACAGGAAAGGATTATCTATCCATTCAAAAAAAAGCCATTCAAAAAAAGCAAGGCAAAGAAAGAAACATTCGAGATAACATAGGCTCTAAGAAAGAACATTCAGGAATACACAGGCTCCAAGCATAGTAGTTTTCCAAAGACATTAACAGAGAGTTCCCACTAGCAGCTACGCTTCTTCATCACCCTACAGACCGTCATTGACCTCGTCCGTCCCCTCGTCCTTCGCCACATCACCAACCTCACTAGCCCCCTCACCCGGAGTTAAAGGCTCTTGGTTAACCTGCATGGCCAGCTCGTCCGGTACTAACCTAATCGATAGAGTACCGAAATCGAAGTTGTGATGTAGGACTAGAGGAAGCGGCGACGTAGCTTGAATCCTCTCTTCATAGAAGGAAGAGCGAAATCAATCTTTTCCTACTCATACTCTGGCGACCGGCAGAAACATTCAACTACTTGGATCTCAACCCAACGAATATCTTCAGTATATTTAGTTCGTCACTCTTCTAGCTGACGATCCCTAATCTGCACTTTGTCGGTCAGAGTGGCAATGGTCCCTTTGGCCTCCTCCAATTCGCGCTGCATGCCGGCACTAAGCCCAGAAGTGTTTGTGATCATCCTTTGCACTGTGATGGGCCGCTTCAACACTCAGGCAAGCTCCCTCTAGTTGGGCCTACAAGGCCTCTATGTTCGCCTACATCTCCTGCTTTTCACGTCTCACAGATCAATGTTCATTGAAAATATCTCCCGTGGAGGTGGTTGTTTGTAAAACACACTCTGGGCTGTTTTGGGAATGACATCTCGTAATGAGTGTGGGTAAAATAGTAATCACACAATATTCTTTTTAGTTGAAAAGACAAAGAGGACCTGAATTAGCTAAGGTATCATGTGTAGAGGCTCCCAAAATAGCCCAAGCTGTTTTTTCCAAACAGCCAAAGTGATCTCGGGCTACATGGTATCGTGGAAATAAGTGGGATGTAGGAATGGCAATGGGGCGGGGGTCATATTCCCCATCCCTATCCCTGATTCTTGTCAAGGATAAAATTTGTCCTCTATCTCTGATCCCCAATGGGGATGGGTTCCTCGCGGGGACCCAAATCCCCAATTTTTTTTTATAATAATAATTTTTAAAAAAATAATTTTACTTAAAATAAATAAAATTTTTAAATTTTAAATAATTTTTTAAATATGTTTTGATATATATATATATAATATAAATAATATAATAATATATATTTAACATATGTATATAATTGGGGTTAGGGTAGGGCAAGGACCTCAATCCCCATCCCCAACCCTGATCAGGGATTCCTATTAATCCTCATTCCCATCCCCGCCCCACCAAAACAATCCCATCCTCGACCCCATTGGGTCAAGGAAGTCGGGTCCCTATGGGGATGGGGAAAATTGTCATCCCTAGTGGGATGTGCTTTGGGGTGCCCATGGGGCGCCCATGCCAATTCCATTAGTAGACAATGAAAATAAACAAGGCCTAAGTGCTCATGACTTCGGGTGCACTCATCGTATCAATGCTCTAGGAATGGCTAGAGGTGTAAATCGGGCCATGTTGGGCCGACACAACATGACTCGCGTGTGGCCCATGCAAAGTGTGGTCCATGCTATGCCGACCCACAAGACGAGTCAGGCTGTGCTTCTCTCCCCTATGATACTTTGGGGGGTCGGCCCGAGACAGCCCATGGCCTAAGCCCGTGTAGGCCCATGTCGTGCTGCGATACAGGCCAGCCCGAGCCATGAACCAAGCCAAGCCATGTTTTTTAAAAATTTTGAAAAAAGTAATGATAATTTTAACATAAATTAAAAAAAAGACAAAAATTAAAAAAAATCTTAAAATTTTATTTTATATGAATTCTGATGTATACAATTATTTATGTATGCAATAATAAAATGAAATAATATAATAAAATCAAAAGTAAAATTATATATATATTAATATATTATATAATTATTATATTATATAATATAATATAACATAATGTACATATTATATTATAATATAATATATAAATATATATATGAGTCGTGTTGGGTCGTGCTGGCACGTAGGTCGCAGGCGGCACGACCCAACTGGTCATGTCATGTTGTATCGGCCCATGAACCTAGAACCCCATATCCAATACAACCCATACGATCGTGTTGTGCCCGGCACAACCCGCATTTTGTTGTGCTGGGTCTTGCCAGGCCGCAGGCTCCACGACCCTGTTTACAACTCTAGGAATGGCAATGGGGTAGGGGGCTGGGTTTTGTTTGCCCCATCTTCGAACCCCAAAGTTTTGGATTCCCCGAACCCCGATCTATAGTCAAAAAACCCAATCAAGGCGGGGTGGGGCCCCATAGGACCAATCAAATTGCCATCTCTACAATGCTCCCATCAAATCTGAGACAAAAATTGGTGGGGATCTACTACCAACCAAACATTCCCTACCAATATTGACAAGGGAGATGTTCACAATGTGCAATTGCAATGGCCAGTTGGGATTCTTGGGAGCATTTGGTTGGTAATAGATCTAAACTCGGTAAAAAAACATGAGTTCAAATCTTCTCTCAACGAAATATGTTCCAACATTATCCACCACCTCACATCTCATACATGGTGGTCCCAATCTCATGGTGATGTGCGGTGTAAGATCATGTTGTAAGTGTGTTGAAATGGGTTTTATTAGAGCAGATCCAACTCCAAAAACATTCATTACGTAACCTATTCCCAACCCAAACAAAAAGAGTAGAGTTCGGGTTAAAAATGCAGTAAATAGGTCCTTGAAAGGATCACCCTCTAACGCTCCAATTCCCAAAAGTATAAATTTTTTGTTTTTTGTTTTTTGTTTTTTTTTTTAATTACGTAACCTATTCTAACTTATCCTCAACAAAACTTCAGGCTCCTCACTGCATTAAGACTAGGGTATAGTCCACGTGGATAATAAGAAGTTTCCCCTGTTGCTAATGGAAGCCTGGAAGGGCCGATGGGAGGTATAGACTCTGGATGATTAGCATTAGCAGTGTCATCTCTCTACGTGGCAGGAAAACGTAGATTGGGAGGAAAACGAAGGCCAAAACAGTAAATTTGACTGTTCAGTTGTTAATTCTAGTTGTGGGCCAGTTTTATATTTTTACTTGAAGGCTTAGAAACAAAAATAGGACTCTATTATCCTTTAATATTCACCTGAGCTCAGAATGTTGACTCCGTGGCAACTAAAAACCCGTTTCGCAGATTTACAAGAATTTGGAACCACAAAATATTTGAAACCGTGTGGAATATAGAGGAAAAATAAACAAGAAATACTCTGCTTTTATCTGAAACAGAATTGAAGCGAAAGTGAGGAGTGAGTGAGTGAGACGGTTTCGCTGTTACTACCTACCGTCTCTCTTTTCTCTTTCCCTCGTTTTTTTGTTTCAATGTGCATTTGAGATCGCGGCAGGGGTTTCGCTCACATTTCCTGTTTCCCGTTCTCTGATTTACTCTTTTTTCTTTCTCTGTTCTACTGCTCTTCGTTTTCCACTTTTTCTCTCTCTCATTTTTCTTTATTCGATCCTTCCGCATTAGTTGAGTAAAGGCCCTCCATTCTTTTGTTTTCCTCTGATTAGTTCGGATAGATTCGTTGCAGCTTTTGAAGTTTATCTATCTTTATGGTGAGATCTAACCTACAGAGATGATAGAAGATGTGTATCCGAGAAATTGTTTCTGCTTGGTGGTATTAGGGCTTTGGAGATACATACACGTTAAGAATATCTGCAACAGCTCTAGCTTTGAAGAATGGTGCGGGATCTATAATTTGAAGTTGAAATTACAGTGTCTGGGTAGAAAATCGTGACGCATTTTAATAGCGTTTCTGTTGAATGTGCGGGATCTGAGGTGTCGAAGAAGATTTTCGAGTTTTGAGGTAAATTATTTCGAATTTGGAGGGCATGATCAATAGATTAGGTCCGCGAAAATCCTGTTAGGCTTTACATGGATTGCTACACTACGGGTGCAAGTAACAGCTCAGAGTATTAATGTTGTAGTGGATTCGTGAATTCTTTTAACGGAATTATCCGTTGGACTTGGTTATTAAATAAATATACGTTAGATGCAGAATAACCGGAGTTTTAGTAAATGTCCAGAAACTCCACATTTCATGTATTTCGAATTCTTCACGGTGGAGTTTCTAATTAGTGTTGCAAATTTTTGAACTCTGCTTTGGATTTTCATGTTACAGGCGAAATCATAGGAACATCCTTGAAGCGGGCACGGCGAAATGGCAGAAAAGACGAATTCAGTCAGAAATTCTACCAGCTTTTCTGACGGTACAATTGGAACTCCAACTGAACTACATTGCTGAAAAAGTTGGCGCGGATCTTAATATCTGACGTTCCTTGAAAACGAGAACTCAAGCTGAACTTCTGACGCTTATAACTTCTCCAGGAACGTTCTATGATATAACTGGTGAAGTTTTCAGTGTCTGGGTAAAAATAAAAGGAAAAATAGTAGGAAGAAGACTGAAATTGTCTGAAATGGATGCGGGGACCATCTCCGAGAAATCCAAATCATGGGCTATTAAAATACATAAAACAGCGTGACTTCGTCTCAAAGCATAAGAGGTCGCGCTTTCGGGAAGTTATCTTTTTTGACATTCAAACCGACAATGGCGAGTTAATCAACAGGGCTTAATTAGAACTGAGTCATCATTAGGTAGCTGTTGTAGACAATTGAGGTTATAATGGGGGTTGGGTCTGATGTTGTATACGAGTACAACCTCCTTTGTAACATCTGAACCATCTTGCATTTCTGTGGAGCAGGGGAAAAGCTGTGAGTACCGTTGCTTTTATATTTTATCTCTTTTTTCATTTTTTTTTTCCTGCGTTCTTGATTTCAGTTATATGTCCGACCATATACTCCATTTCATTCTGGCTCTAGGAGACGATAGCCGGTAGGGGTGTAGATATGGGGGCAATCGGTGGGGAGGAGCTTATGCGTTGGGAGAAGGCGCAGGAGAAAGGTACCCGCGAAGAAAAGATTTTTGTTTCTGTAAGATTGAGGCCTCTGAATGCAAAGGAGATTGCGAGGAACGAGGTATCAGATTGGGAATGCATCAATGATAACACCATTATATTCAGGAACAGTCTTCCGGAGCGATCCATGTATCCAACTGCATATACATTTGGTAAGGAACTATTTATTTTCTTTAGTTTGGTGTAACTGATTCGCTTTTGGTATGTTTGTATAATACTGAATTTGGGGATGCAAATTTGCTAAAAAGCTTAGGTTATGAGAGTCACTGATCGGGTGGGGGAGGGGTGGTCGTGAGGAGGATCCATAGCGTTCCGCGAATCAGAAACTAGATATTTCTGCTCTTTTAAGCTGTTGGATATCTTTGTCTCTACCCATTTCTTCGCAAGGATGTTACCTCAGCTTTTCATTCCTTTACTTATTTTCCTTGTTTAGGATTCCTTTTACCAATTAATGTTAACGATCCTGAAGTCCGCTTTGTGCGATTAAGATATTACAATCTAACTGGTTTTCTGAATTGATCCAAATATATCATAAGGATTGAATTTGAAGTAATTTGTACAAACAAGTTATTTTTCTTCGTTTTTTTTTTTTTGTAATTCTTTATGTTGTTCTTCTGAGATATACGGAAATTTATCTGATTGCCGGCGTCTGGATCTGTATTTTTCTTGGATAGACAGGGTATTTCGGTGTGATTGCTCCACAAAGCAGGTTTACGAAGAAGGAGCCAAGGAAGTTGCTCTTTCAGTTGTTAGTGGTATTAATTGTAAGTATAATTTTCATGGTCTTCGCTTCTTGTTTGCTGAATGCCTCTTGAGTTACTCCATTTACATTTTTTTGTACAAAATATTATGTCTTCAGCAAGCATTTTTGCATATGGGCAAACGAGCAGTGGGAAGACACACACCATGAGTGGAATTACAGAATATACAGTAGCAGATATATATGACTATATACAGAGGGTAATGGAATCCTCAACCCCAAGTTAAACTAGCCTTTTGCGCTTTCCATTTCAATTTACTTCTTGGCTCTTACTTTTGTAATAAGGGTGTCTCTTTCTTCTTGTAGCATGAGGAAAGAGCATTTGTTCTGAAGTTCTCTGCAATGGAAATCTACAATGAAGCTGTCAGAGACCTCCTCAGTGTAGATAGCACTCCACTTAGGCTTCTAGATGATCCAGAGGTGAATATTATTCTTGATGTTAATTTCATCTATGAGAGAGCCTAATCATACTAACAATAATATACTCCAATAGAGAGGAACTGTTGTAGAGAAATTGACAGAGGAAATTCTGAGAGATTGGAACCATCTAAAGGAGCTTCTTTCCATTTGTGAAGGTAAGGGCATTTCTAAAGTCAGTCCTGCTTCTATTTGATGATTATGTATCTTTATATGTGATATTTAAAACTTGCAGCTCAAAGAAAGATAGGAGAGACCTCTCTGAATGAAACAAGCTCCAGATCTCATCAAATTCTCAGATTGGTTTGCCTCTCTCTTGTTAGAGAATATGTTTTAGAGAGATTTAAATGAAGTCTAGGAGATTATTGGTCTGACTTGTTTCTTTTGATCAAATGATGGATTTCTTAGACAATAGAAAGTTCTGCACGTGAGTTTCTGGGCAAGGACAATTCAAGTACTCTTGCAGCTAGCGTGGTAAGATTACTTTTTTTTTTTATTACTGATACATACAGCTATTTGCCTTCAAATATTCTCTGATGATCGCTGAATACATCCACAAATAATAAACTGCATAATCACATGAACATAGATACAGGAAGCAATGGTAAATTGAGTTGCCTTTCTTGTACAGAACTTTGTTGATCTGGCTGGGAGTGAACGTGCATCTCAGGCATTATCAGCTGGGACAAGGTTGAAAGAAGGTTGCCACATAAATCGCAGTTTACTTACCCTGGGAACTGTTATTCGCAAACTGAGGTTGGCCAATATTTTCCATTGAATGTTTATCCTTTCTAGCCATCTTTCAGTTGGCATCTCGACCACTTTAACATGGTTTTAGAAACTTGTGTCTTCTGTTTTACAATGCCATATTGAGAACTAAAAGGATTGGATTAAAGTAGCTGTTGGTACTGTCCAAAGTTGGTTACTACTTCTCAACTATGAGCAAAACTGGAGTTTAAAATTAAAACTGAGCTTCTAATACTATGATCTTTGAGTCCATAGACTAGACCAGCATTGGGTAGTGCTTTTTATTTGGATAGACTAGACCAGCATTTGGTTATAGTTCTTTTTTTTTTCTGGAGAATACTATGTTCCTCGTTCTCATTTCATCATGAGTTTCTAGATATCAGGCTTTGTATTGGAGTTAAGAGTAATTATACTGCTACTCATTTAATGCTTTTGGTGGCTCCAGCAAGGGAAGAAATGGACATATTCCCTACAGAGACTCCAAGTTAACACGCATATTGCAACCCTCCTTAGGAGGCAATGCTAGAACTGCCATTATTTGTACAATGTGCCCTGCACGAAGCCATCTTGAGCAGTCCAGAAATACCCTTCTGTTTGCAAGCTGTGCAAAAGAAGTGGCCACCAATGCACAGGTTAATATAGTCATGTCTGATAAGGCATTGGTAAAGCATTTGCAGAGAGAATTGGCCAGGCTGGAGAGTGAGTTGAGAGGTCCAGGACCAACTTCTGCAACATGTGATTTTTCAGCACTGTTGAAAGAGAAAGATCTTCAGATTGAAAAGGTAAAAGTTTCTAAATTTAGTTGTAGGATACACCTAGACACAGTGACATGCTTGCACACATGTAAAGTTAGAGCATCTCCAAAAAATTACTACTTAGTTTCTGAATAAACTCAAAACATCAAAATAATGCAGTTGAACTAGTTTAATCCAATAGTCATGCCTTTGGCAAGCAACAAATTTCTGCTTTTAGTTGGCTAAGGAGTCATATGACCTTCTTATGTAGATGGAGAGAGAGATAAAAGAGTTGACCCAGCAACGGGATCTTGCTCAGTCTCGACTTGAGGACTTGCTGCGAGTGGTTGGAGATGATCGAGCTTCAAGACTATGGGTATTTGGTGTTAATCAAATGAACGAGTACTTTTACACATTGACTAATGTGCTAAACTACTAACACAATTTTTGTCCCTTTTTCAGGAAGCACTTGATCATCAATCTAAATTCCAAGTGCAGAATGCATGGGAAGATGAATCTGACTCATCAAGTGTTGCAGATCCTCGCTGTTCTGATGTAGGTGTTGCAGGATTTGGCACATCTCAATATTCTGACAGACAAAGTAACACTAATTCCAATGTCCGCTACCGTCATCTCCCTGGGAACCCACAAGATCGTTTTCTGTCTGATTATACCTCTCCACAACTATCAAATGGTAGTTCTGAGTTTGTTGGACCTGGTCCATTTCAGAATTGGGAAGGAATTGCTCAAGAAACAGGTGAAGATAATGAAGACCTTTGCAAGGAAGTTAGATGCATTGAGATGGAAGCATCAAGCACAAACAGGAATTTGAAATCAAATGTTTTGCCCCCTGAAGAAAATGAAGAACTATTACCTTTGACAATGAATGAAAGCAGAGATGCAATGGAGCAAGAATTGGCATCATTTCCACCAAAAGGAGATGGAGAGTTGAGGCATATCAATACTGATTTTACATATGATGCACTGGAACATAAACTCCATGGCATGCAAAAAACAATTGCTTGTCTTGTCAATCCCTACACTGACGAACCATCTCCGTGGCCACCTTCAGTAGAACTGTCAAGCTCTAGAAGTTTGAGGCTAACTAGAAGCCAGAGTTGTAGGGCAACTCTAATGACTAGCTCATCTTCTCCCTGGTTTGACAACCAAAACACACCACCCAGTGGCTTTGAGAAAGACTTCCCTGGAAGGCCATGTGGTTTCCAAAAGAAGCCTTCTGCGTTAAACTTCAGTGCTAACATTCAAAGGTTATCAAGAAAAAATTCTCAGAACTCTGAGGGGAGTGTTTGCACAGATGAACTAAAAGCACAAAATATCAAGACTTCAGCTGAAGATGATATTACTAGTATCCATACTTTTGTTACAGGACTGAAGGAAATGGCTAAACTTCAGTATGAGAAGCAGATAGATGATGGCCTGGTGAGAATCTGTTATCGTTAAGAAACATTAGATTACATGATGAAAGTATCTTGATATTTGCAATGTCACTTCTTTTTCTTTCTTTTGTTGCTTTTTGTTATGTTTTTAAATACTGAGTTTGTCACAATCATTATATTGTTTAACCACCATATGATTGCAAAACAAGAAAAAGAAAATAAACTAACCCAGGATTCAGCACCTAATAGCTTTTCGAAGGAACCAGATTTGGCATTGTCAAGAAAATTTCCATCAAAAAATAAAAAATAAATTTTATTTTCAATCCTCGTCCTTGTATTTTACAACAATAATATGGACCTTATATAGACTTATTTCTCCAATCTAAAGTTTTTTATCACTCTCCAACTCATACGAATAGTTGGAAACAATTTAAAACTTACTAGAAATCCTAAAAATTGACCTTTTTGACCCATTAGAAGTTTGACACAAATTTATGATAGGAATACGACTTCTAAAACTAATACCTATATAATTAAATCCTAAAACTAGTAAAACTCTAATTCAAAACTTTAAAATAAAAAAAAAAAAACTCATTATAAACTTGTTGACTACCTGTAACTCAGTCGAAGCTTTCTCAGTACAAATCCAAATTGTGTTATCTCAGACTTGTTGAATAGATTAAAAAAAAGGTTTTTAACAAAACTTAAATTGGGTCAATCAAGCAAGCTTTTGGCACTTCAAATTTTGGCTATGAAGGACAGGTTTAAGATGTTTTCTCTCTGGATTTCCATTTGAAGCTTAAGTAATTAATTTTCAACTTTGAATTTGTGATCCTTTGTCTCCTGCATCACTTACTTTCTCCTGTTGATATGAAGGATTGGGGTGTGGTTAGCCTTATCATCATTTCTTAACAAACCAAGGGGACCAAGTCCCTTTGTTATGTTTTTACATGTCAACAAAATAAGGGGATCAAATCATGTATCACATTGTAGAAATATCCAATGCTCTTAATGTTTCATATATGTCACATGAGTGATGGTCAACCATTGCTTGGTTCTCCATTCCAGATCTGAAACTTTCTAGTACTTCTCCCTACCCCATTGCATCAATTGGTATTGGAATTGTCAGTCTTATATCAGTAATGTACCATATGCAAGAGTGCATGCACATAAACAGACTTTGTAATCATATGGTAGCCATTTTGTAGTCTTATGTGCACACTTTTATCATAGACATACTTCCTCATGTTGCATGCCAATCTTTCTGAATCAAAGTCCATATGGCTCCATCCGTTCGTCTGATATATTAGGTAATGTAGGAGCCATATATATTTTTTTTTAAATTGTATTGTAGGAGCCATATTCATTGATATTTTCCACCAAAAAAAATACATTATTGATATTGATCAGTAGCAGAATACATTTGTCAAGGGTGACCAGATACAGACTTGGAACATGTAGAAGTTTTAGTTTTAGTTAGAAACACAGGATCAAGATATGGAAACAACATCTGAAGCCATGTCTTCTTGGTTTGCACAATGTTTGGCTCCCCAGATATGCAAATCTAAGTTTCTATTAACGAATTCTGTTTAGCTTTTAGTGAAAGATTTGTTACTTTCTGGAAAATATAAGATGCACAGTTATATGGCATTCTAACATGGGTTCTTTTCATCGGATTTCAGGAGACAGAACCAAAGGCTGATAAATCTGGGACGACTGTAAAAAATGTAGGGGTGGACCCGATGCAAGATCCATCAGACTCTCCTTTAAGTTGGCCCTTAGAATTTGAGAGGCAGCAGAGAGAGATAATTGAACTTTGGCACACTTGCAATGTATCATTGATCCACAGAACCTACTTCCTCCTGCTCTTTGGAGGAGATCCAGCAGATTCCATTTATATGAAGGTAGAACTCAGGAGGCTTTCCTTTATCAGGGATACATTCTCTCAAGGAAATCTTGCTAAGCATGCTATGATAGATGACTGGGCTCTCACACCAGCTTCAAGGTACTACCTTGCTTTCTTTCATATATTTATGTTTTCATATTTTTTTATCAGTAACTGAGATTATATTAATGAGAAAAAAACAGATATAATATAATACATGGGAGAGGTAAACACTCTTAACTCTCCCCATGATAAGGGTCAATTACAACAAAGCCCAAAACAGACTTTCTCTTCCCATCCCTTGTTTTACAAGTATTTCCGCAAAGGAATTAGCAGTCCTCTTTACCCGCAGTAGATTTATCTCCATGTCCCTAGTCAACCACCTATATTTCTTTTTTTTTCATTAGCAAATTTCCATATCTCATTCTCCTCCTTTAACAGCCAGCCTATAACCAATTTAGATTTAGAATCACCCTCAGCAATCAACTTTTTGATGTTCAACTCCTTTGCTCTTTTAATCCCTTCCATTACCACCAAAACCTGGTGCTCTAAGCGAATCACCTACTCTAATGGGGCCTGAAAAGATATTTGTGTTTTCTTTTCTTAACCTGGGAACTACAAAAGAAAGAAGCTAAGCTACATGAATAATGTGTTGTCTTCCAAGGAAGCTTTGTTTCGGTGGGACTGTTAGCCTTTATGTTCAAACACTAACAGCCCAAGATTCAGGGCAAGATCTATCAAAGATGAGAGGAAAAACTTGCAGAGAAGTTTGTTGAGATTTTCCCAATACTACACACCCATCCGATGCACCACTCAAATGAAAGTTCTACATATTAAGAGATTTTCTTTGTCATAATTGGATAGGCATGTCGTTAGAAGGGATTTGGAGCATCCATCTGAATGACTGCTATTCCAGATCCACTCCATCCATCTGACAAAGGGGCACCTCCAAGTTAGCTATCTTATATTGCTTAAACTATACATGTAGGGGTATGTGTTAGTGTATCAAGACTATTTCACCATTCCCCTAGCTTGATTAGGAACCTCAACATTCATGTTAATCACTCATTACTACTGCAGTAGGTTGTCTTCATCCAAATGCCCACAACAATCTCAATTTGCAGCCTCATTTTCTCATTTATTGTATCCACTAATTTGTAGTTACATTTCTGCTACATTCATTTTATGGATATATTTCTTCTTGATTACCCAATACTATATTTTAAATAGTATTGCTGACCACATGGCATCTTATAAGATTTTTCCTTCAGGCTTATTACATTCGTCATTCCATAAAACCTTGTTCATACACCCCACTATAGATTTTCTCTTCAGGCATATCCTCTTCATTCTCTAGCTATGAATTGTTGAACCAAGATAGTGGAAATGATCACTTAGAAGAATCTATTGGCCACTCAATTGTAATTAGGTTACTTTTGCAAACTCTCATACTAAAAGGGGAGAATTTATGCTCAAGCCTTCAACCATAGTTAAATAAATTTCTAGTAGATCAAAACTAACCATTTAATTGACCCTGCATTAATGGTTTACCTGTACCAAAATCAGAATTGTTGGACCTTTAGCCACTTGATTTGCTGAAGATATTTAAAATTGCAATAGATTGTTTTTTCCTACTGTTGAAAGTTGTAATCTTCAACTTTTTTTGCTAACTAGTTGTTATCTGCATTTACTCTATTAAATTTGCTGAAGCATCTTTTCACAGTACTGACTTGGCATTTGACTCCGCTGTAGCACCTCATCAGTCAATGCCTTTTAGTCAGCAAACAACATATACTTTGTACCCTTGTACAACATATTCACTATGATTTGAAATTTTCATCTCCCTTCTCACACTAATCACCTCACCATCATTTATTTCATTAGATTAATATACTTGGTTGGGGTTCCTTTCTTTTCCAAAACCCACCGTAGGGCTCTCTTGGGCACCTACCATGTCGGATCAATAAATATTGTGCGCTTCACTAGATAAAATCACCACCCTATAAATCTTATGTATCATAATAACGCCCTAGCTTACTCAAGATAAAGAGTAAAATGCAAATAAGAAGTTCAAGTTTCAAATTGATTGTTCCCCCCAAGTTTTTCAGGGTCCGGTTATAATTATCATTAAGTTCAAGTACATTCCGAAACTCAGTATTTTTATGTCATAGAGATCTAAGCTGTAATTAGCCCCATATAGTGAATAGTATGAACCTTTGAGTCTTTGACAGAAGAAATTTTACACTGCCTGTGCCTTTAAGATGCAATGATAAAGATGACAACAACCTGCAAGTTAATAATTTTCCTCCTTTTATTATTTAAGTTCAACTTGGCAAACAAGAAAAATAAAAAACCCCTATTGTAAGATAAAAATGCCACTGTGAGACAATGGGGTGATGAAAATTGAAAATTGAAATCTTTCTCATCAACAATGGTCATGATTTTTTTTTTTAATTTCTCTTTTGGCATTTTGTATTTTGTTCTTAATCAAGAGAATGCTAATTACTCCTCTGGAGTCACACAGCATGAGGGCACTCCGTCGAGAGAGGGAGATGTTAAGCAAACGAATGCCTAAGAGATTCTCGGAAGGAGAGAGAGAACAACTATATAAGAAGTGGGGTATTGGATTGGATACAAAGCAGAGAAGGCTACAGCTGGCCCGCCGACTGTGGACAGACACCAAAGACATGGACCACGTAATGGAGAGTGCTACAATTGTCGCAAAACTAATCGGATTCCAAGAGCCAGGGCAGGCCCTCAAGGAGATGTTTGGCCTCAGCTTTACTCCTCAACGGACAAGCCGGAGATCCTACAGCTGGAGACGCAGCATGTTGGCTCTCCTTTAAGCTTGTATTCGGCACTCTGTATCGGGAAAAGTATGGTGATAATTTGAGGACTTTGGATGAGATGAGCTACATTCCACTTACATAAATGAAATTTTGACTGACACATTGCCCCTTTTCAGATTCAGAATGTAGAGGAAGGCTTGTAAATTTGCTCAGCTCAGTGGTGTATTTTGTTTGTCTGTAGTGTTCTTCCCGTTGATGATCGATGGATAGTATGGCTCTTTCTTGATTTTATTATCATCTGCAGTAGTGGAGTTCATTGTCAGATGACACATAATATCAGAGATTATTTTAACGAAAAGTTTCAAGAGCTGCTTTTTTTTTTTTTTGCACCCTGAAGGACTTGGTCACCTAGAAAACCAACCCGATGACAGTATTGGATGGAGCTCGCATCGTCTGTCCCACCCAATAGAATTTGAACACGTCCCTCCTTCCCTTGGTTGGCTTGTCGTTTGTGTTGTTGTGTATCCGGTATATTCACTGCACCTGCCTAGAGCTGCAAATTGGGCTGGATTGATGATTTGGTTAGGGTTAGAGATGACTTTTGTTAACTTGGTTGGGTTAGGGTCGTCCCATTGGCAGCCCGACCCAACCTTGAACCTGAACCCAACTCTACTATTGATAATGTACTAACAGAATCTATTTGTCTTAACTCTTATGCCCTAACCCTAATGACAAGTTGCCATTAGTGATTTTTCATTCTATAATTTTGTCTCATTATCATTGATCTCATGATTTTAGATTTTCAATAGGACATCCATCACAATTCATAATAGACTAATTATTTGTAACTTTTTTATTTTTCCACTTTTTACTAAAGGCCCTAAATGTTCTGTGCAAATACAAAATGCAAGTTTCCTGAAAATGACAGCATGTGTATTCCACCTGAAGAGCCAAAAGAATTAATAAAATTATCAAACAAGTAAATGCCAATAAAAGTATGGTCCATACATAATCATAAAAGTTAAGTTTAGGTCTCTTAATCAAATATTAAGAGGATTTGAGAGATTTTATGAGATTTTAAGAGGATGAGAAAAGGTAGAGCTTGGCCCAACCTGAGCCCTAATTGGGTCAGGTTGGGGTAGGGATTCAAAACCTCAGGTTGGGCTAGGGTTGATCTCAACCTGACATAACACGGCCTGATTTGCACCCTTCTATTTATCGGAATTCAAGTTCAACCCAGTTAAGGGTTATCCAATCTTTATTACTTGTATCGAATATGAATCAATTTATATACAATAGTCCAATTTATATTATATTCAATCTATTAGTAAGGTTGGTTAAATAGTTGTGTTTTTACTAAAGAGTCCTTGGTTCAAGTTTCATAAAATCTGTTTTCAAAAAATTTGATTCATAATATACAATATCAAACTCAGTTTTAGTTTATTTTATTAATAATAGATAATATTTTACCATTTTTAGTTTAATTTGCTAATGCTATTCAACATCTTGTTACAATCCAAATTCAATTTGAATCATCTATAAATGTGATGGATAAGATTTGATCCAAATCCAAATATAAATGAATCAAATCCTGATCTACCTCAATATCCAGTTTGATCTGATTCATTTGCATCCCTAAAACTGAATGAATCATCCTGATCCTGAGAAAATTGGATTCTTTGGCCCATTTCATCCAAAAGGAAAAGGTATTTTTTTCCTCAATTTGCAACATTGAATTGAGCATTATTTTGAAACCAATGTTTTTATAAGTTTTCAAATCGTTGTTTATCCATGCAGTTTTTTATGACAAAATCCCTAAGGCAAATCCATTCGTCAATCTCTTTCGGTTACATCATATAGTAAAGGTGGAGATAGAAACCCTGGTACAGTGGACCAGGTGTGAGTAATGGTACGTGAAAGCATGGTTTTAAAAAAACGACCTGGAAATGGAATCGTTATAGTCACTGATTTTTGGGTTGATGGTTCGACTGTTCAGTTCGAACGAACTGTTCATTTTGACAATAAAAATTAAAAATAAAAAATGGCCAAAAAGCGTTGAATGAATCAACAGTTTGACAGTCTGGGTCAACGGATCGTTGATTGATTCAACGTTTTTTTTGCCAAGAACTGAATTTAGGGTAAAACAGAACCAACTACTTAAACAGTTCCCGAGCCGAATGATCCGACCATCCAGGTCAACAGCGGTTTGAAAACCACGAAAGTGCAAATTTAGCCACTTGATGAGCAGCATGATTACAGGTCCACGTACATAAGCAACTAAAAGATTTGGGAGGCAAGAAATAATACTCTTACAAGTATGAATAAGCATGTGTATGCTCCATGATGGTTGTGAAGAATCAGACTAATCAGAATCTGAGCATCACTTCTATAATAACATCTGAAAGACTGAAATGCCCAGAGTCTTCTCGACATGAACTTTAAACTGCCAAACCCACCACCAGCCAGATGTCACTTGCCTACACACCCTGCTTCGGATTATTAAAATATTTTGTACTATAATATTTTATCATAGCCTTTGATCCATAGATCATCATAATGAAATATTGAGCATAAACACCCTTGTTCCTTTTACCGGAGAAAAAAAATTTGTTTAGAGATGATTTTGAACAACCGTATGGTTACCTATTCTTAATTATATGGGGGGCGAGATTGATGTTTCCCATCTCATTTAAAAAAGGTATAAATGTACAATGGAAAAAAGAACCACACAACCTCCATAATTAGGTGAAGTCGTGAAGACAAAAAGTTCAAAATGTTGGTAGTTTGGTACGGATTAGATTGGTAATGCCTAATACTGTGACATGCTTTGATAGACCAAAAGTGACACACTATATAGATTTTTCACAAATTACTATACATATAAATTTATTAATATGTTATTATGTATTTAAGTTAAATTACTAATTAATAGCTTGCGAAAATATATAATATTAATTTAAAAATATCGGATCATTATAATTTCTAAAATACATATTATATCAATTAATAAGTTTTAATTACTAAAATAACTATTCCATTTTACTATTTTTATTTCTGTAAATTATCAAAAAATTAAAAAAAAAAGGTTTAGATGGATTGATCATTCATAGATCCATCTTATACCATCAGAACTCAGAACCATTTAAAATATTTTTTATGATTTTTAAAGTTTCCCGATTTTTGAAAAAAAAAAACCATGGATCTGGTCATGCAAGCAAAAACGTAACAAATCCAATTACAAAATCAACATCGTATTTCGAATACAAAATTATTTAAATGTACCATTTAAGAATTAAATGAAAAAATTGCATTTCTTTTTTATTTCAATAAGTTTTCCTTTTTACTTTTTTTAATACAAGATTTTAATGGAAGTAGAGAGGATCCGGGCCCTAATGAAATATCCAAACTTCAAACGTTCACGACTGAGAAATTGCTGTTGCCATATAAACCTTGTTTTTTTTGAGATTTATGAACTTGGTTATAGATATTAGAACCGGAAAAAGGATTCAACTGAAAGATCACCAATAGAACAAAAATAATTGAATAAGATTAAGGAATGCATATATGTAGTATTTACAAAGCAGGGGTGACAGATAAGATGATAGGAGATTCTCATGGCCACCATCACTTACTTACGCTTTTAGGACAGCTCCTTCTGTAATCTTCCACCCTGACCTGGAACAGGACATCTCATACCTCGTGGTGTAGGTTGTATTGTAGGAGTCGTTGTGCTCTGGATGGACCATATCTGTCAGCCGAGCTTCCTCTTCAAGTGTTGCCTCCACTAAGGCTCGCCGCCCATCCAATGACACAGTGACACTATCAATTGTCAAGCCCAACAATGTGTACTCCCAAAACCAACCATGTTGTGCAATTTCTGCTGCACGGTCTGTCCATATCTTCAGCATCTGACCATCCAGTATCTGTCCAGTATATATCAAATTGTCAAGGACATGTTCCAGCAAGAACCTCAAAAAATCAAAAAACAAGAAAATTCCTGGCTTGAGATGGCGGCAAATGTATGGGCATCAGTCCTCCCTGTGTTATATGGTTAATAAGGCTTTGACTTGGGTGAAGGATAAATTTTCCCATTAAATCGAGATGTTTTAATTTTCCAAGCTAACAAATTAGGACATACAAAGAAAAACTGCAGGTGTCAGAGTGCAGATATCCTGATATTTTTGTTTGCTAGCATAATATTGACAGGTGATGAAACTGAAGAGCCGAATACAAAGGTAGAATGATTAAGAGATGCTTTAGAGTCAAAAGGTTACAAAATAAGTCAGACTAAAATAGAATAGACATATTACAACTTTAGTAAAACATTTTTTGATAAATGGAGAATTTATTAGAAGAAGAAATCAAGAGCAACTATTACAGAAGACACTTGGAGAGGCACGAGCTGCAACCTCTCCAATCCATCAAACACTAAAAAGGTATACAGCTGAGCCCAATACAAATGTTCCCTCGTTGCCCCTTGCTTGGCTAAGCAGTCAGCCATAGCATTGGCAGATCTCCCTACCCATTGTATTCTAAGTTCTAACATACAAGTTTCTCATCAAGCATTTGAATCTTTTAAGTTCATTTCTGAAGCACCAAACTGCAATCTTTGGATTCTGTAACCACCCACAACAAACTTAGAATCACCTTCTATTAGTAGCTGCTCCACTCCTATCTGTACAGCAAGCTGTACCCCTTGTAGTGCAGCTAATAGTTCTTCCCTTGTGGAGTCCCCCTCACCTAATGGGCCTGAAAATAGAAGAGCCACAGAACCACTTTCATTCCTTATAACCCCTCCCATCCCAGAAGGACCTGGGTTGCCCAAGCTACTCCCATCAAAATTTAATTTCAAGAAGCCTTCAGGTTGGGGTACCCAGCTCATGTGCATCTTTGTCTTCAATGAAGAACTACTTGCCACTTCTGCCCAATGCCTCCACGGGTCATTAAAGAAAACTACTGAAATAACTCTGAAGATTTCACCCACACTATAGCCTTGCACAGGATACACTCCAACTCTTGTTGGCTTCGCACCTTCTCTTGGAATATTTTGGTGTTCCTTTCTTCCCACACTGTCCAAAGCAGTGCTGCTCTTGCAACCCTCCACATTATTCTTCCTCTTCGATGGTGCCGAGCAAAGGTAGAAGGGTCCAAAAGCAAGCTTACATCTGCTGGCCTATTCCACGTTCCACCTACATCCAAAAATCAAGAAGAGCCAATCCCACAAATTTGCTGTAACAATACAGGAAATTAGTAAATGGTTGCAGTCCTCACCATGGGATCTGCAAAGGTACACCAATTGAGTGAGATGCAGAGATAGGGCCTTCTCCTTTGTAGATTATCCAAGGTGTTTTACTTTCTCATAAAACACTTCCCAACAGAAAGCCAAGACCTTGGGGGGAACAGGCTTGCACCAGACCTCCTTAAAAGAGAGGAGAAGCAGACACTAAACAACAAAGGGACTTAAAGAAAGAGGCACAAGAAAACCTACCCAAGGGCACGAGAGTCCAAAACCTTTTATTTGATTCCATGGGATCCAAACAAACTTTTTCAAGGGTACTCAAAAGGCAAGTAAGACTCACAATCTCATCCCTTAGACCTCGTCGGAACCCAAAGTCCCAAACTGGAGTCAACAGAGATTCCAAAGGAGAGCAAAAGGAAGAAACAGGCTCTTTCTTGTACCGGGAGATAGTGTATAAAGACGGAAAGAGGTCCTTCAAAGGAGCCTCTTCGACCCAAATATCTTCCCAAAGGAGAACCCAATTACCAGTACACACATCATACCTAAGAAAATTGTTGAGTTGAGGGAGGACACTATGGATTGCCTTCCATGGTGTTGCCAAAGTTGCTTGCCAAGAGATCCCAGCATCCCATCCATTCTCTGAGTGGCCATGAATACTTCCTATCACCTTAAACCACAATCTTTTGCATCAAGCTCCCTATTCCTAGACCTCCCTCTTCTTTACTTCTGCACGCCACCTCCCACTTCACCAGATGATCCTTCCTACTTTCCCCTAGTTCCCAAAGGAAGTCCCTCATCAACTTTTCTAGCTTCTTAACTTCTCTAGAGGGAATCCTGAAGACTGACAAGAAATAAGTTGGAAGGTTAGACAGGGTGGCTCTAATTAGGGTAATCCTACCCCCCAAAGAAATATAAGTCTTCTTCCAAATAAACAATCTCTTCTCAAACTTCTCTAATACTAGACACCAGAAACTGCTCTCCCTAGGGTTTGCCCCTAAAGGAAGTCCTAGGTAGGTCATGGGCCATGTAGCTACAGAACACTCTAAACACCCTGCAATCACCTCCACCTCTCTATTATCCAAATTTATCCCTACCACACTACTCTTTTCAAGGTTAACTCTCATATTGGGCATACTTTGAAACATTTTCACCAACATCTTTAGATTCCTTATCTTCTCCAAGTCCCCTCCTTCACCAAAAACTAAAATATCATCTGCAAATTGAAGATGGGAGACTGACACTCCAATCCTGCCTATTTTCCAACCATTTACTAAATTCTCCCTATCAGCCTTTGAGATCATTCTACTTAGCACATCAGCTAACAAGGTGAAAAGGAAGGGCAAGAGAGGGTCCCCTTGCCTTAGACCCCTAGAAGCTAGGAAAAAATCCTTTACCACTCCATTAATCAGGGTAGAGAAGTGACTAGAGCTCACACAGCCAAAAATCCACTAACACCACCTTTCTCCAAAACCACACTTCCTTAAAGCTTGTAAAAGGAATTACCAACCCACCAAATCATAGGCCTTTCCAGAGCAAGCTTGCAAACAAATCCCTTCTTTTTGGATCTTCTCATTTCTTCCAGGCATTCATTAGCTACTAAGATTTGGTCTATAATTTGCCTCCCTTGTACAAAAGCCCCTTGGTATTTGCTGATTAGGGAAGGAAGAACCTCTTTAATTCTCAAGGACAACACCTTAGCTAAGATTTTGTAGATACTAATAAGTCACCAAGCTTATTGGTCTAAAATCCTTAGGGAGGATAGCATCAACCTTCTTAGGGACTAAAAGCCAAGAAAGTAGCATTGACTCTTGGACTTACTATATGATTGTCTACAAACTCTCTAAACACCTCACAAAGATCTTTCAAAATCTCCCAGCAGTCTTGATAAAAGGCCATTGTAAAACCATCTGGGCCCGGCGCCTTACCTATCCATCAAAAACACTACCCTTATAATCTCATCTTCTTCAAAGCTTCTTTCCAACCAACAAGCTTTTTCGTTTTCCAAACTTGGCCAATCTAATCCTTCTAGGGGTAGCCTCTCAGCCAAAGGTCTTCCATACAATTTTTTGAAATGGTTAACAAAGGTTCTAGCTATTTCCTCTTGTTTTGCAATTACCTCCCCTTCTACTTCTAATTTGGCTATAAAGTCTCTCCTTCGATGTCCACTTGCCAAGTCATGGAAAAATCTGGTATTTCCATCTCCTTGCTTTAAACATTGATGCCTTGATTTTCTATCTCCAACAAATCTCTTCCCTTAGCAGCACATCTACTAGATCCTTCTTCAGTTGTCTTCTCTGCACTCTATCCTGTTCAATCAAGATCCCTTGGGATTCCTTCTCATCTAAAGCCTCAACCTGAGTGATAATATTCAACTTTTGTTCCTCCACTCTACCAAAATGATTTCTATTCCACTCTTTCAGTTTGAATCTTAACCTTCGCAACTTCTTGTGGAATCTCACGCCCTTCCACCTTACCCTGGTTAGCTCTTCATCCCACCATTCCTTCACTTTAGCCTTAAACTATGGATGTGTTAACCATATATTTTCAAATCTGAAAGGTATAGGGCCATTGTTAAAGGATTCTACACCTATCTTAATTGGCCAATGGTCAGAAGTGACTCTAGGTAGAGCTCTAGAGACCAAATTACCCCAATAATTCTCCCAAGAACCTATCCAATTTTGAGCTCAAAGGGTTTTCCTAGAGGTTAGACCAAGTGAACCTGTGTTGCAATAGTGGGATCTCCTTCAACTCACATTCTTCTATAAGCTCATTATCTCATAATTGTTGTGATTGATTGACGGGGGTTATTAGTTTCATCCGAAAATCTTATTACATTAAAGTCCCCTCCCACACACCATGGGACACCCCATAAACCTTTCATTGCAAACAACTCCTCCCACGTTTCATTCCTCTCTCTGTAGGAATTAGGACCATACACATTAGTTACTACCCATGTGAAGCCATCCTCCACATTCCTAATTTTGATAGAAACAGAGAATCTCCCTATCAATTCCCTCACAGGTTCCATTGTATCATCCTTCCAAACCGTCACAATTCCCCCCTAAGGCTCCACAGGACAGAGCTGATGACCAACTCACTCCCTTAGACCTCCAAAAGCTTCTGACCCATGTTGCATTTATCTCAGACAATTTTGTCTCTTGTAGCATCACGACGTCAGGATTTTTCCTCCTAAGAAGATTCCTTTTTTTTATCAATCTAAGAAGATCCTTTATTACTCTTCTCTTCCTTGTGCCTCCCAGGCCTCTCATGTTCCAACTTAATATTTTCATCAATACTTTTTTCCAGAATCCTTCTTTCGCCAACCTCCACTCCTTACCTAGATTTCTTCCTCCTATCTCCCCTTCCACTAAACTCTAGATCCCCCTCAATATCCGAAAGTATTCCACCTCGGATCTTTTTTTCCTTTTATTTTAGTAAAAACATTAGTAACAATAGAAGTGCAGTTGTGATTAATAATCAGGAAACACCCCAACCTAACCACTTCAGCACTTCTGGTATCTTGGAACAATTATCTATAATAAGAAATTGAAAAAGGATGTTGCCCATAGCATTAGATCAAAGTGGTTGAAGGCAGAGATTGTGCATCTAGCGTGTTGCATGACCAACATATACCAATGAAAAGAGGAAATTCAAGTGGCTCACCAAGGATATTGAAATCTGTTGTACATGGATAGCGAGAAGCGCTAATACACTGGCAGATGGTCAAGCTAGGCAAGGGGTGAACAGAAGCTCAATGTTTTGGGCTGTTTTGTAATTGTTTCATGAATTCGAGTTTATGGGGTATTCGGGAGTTAAGATTTTTTAGCTCCTTCTTTGTAATTCAGCTTTTCCATCTTATGAATAAAATTCACTGTTATTGATAAAAAAAAATGACTCGTATGACTAAGAAGAAAACTCTGTAAGACCATAGTTTCTATATAGAACGATTTTCATCAAAAAAAAAAATGCTATACAGGCTAGAGTTAGGTAATCAAGAAACATCTCCAAAAAAATGAGTGTAGCTGAGATAAGGATATTAAGATAGATAACTGGCAAGACTAGAAAGGAGTGCATTAAAGACTTAGGAGTAGTTCCTATAGTGACAAGATAAGGGAAAGTCAACTAATAGTTTTTGTTATGTGCATAGACACCAATGACTGAACTAGTGAGGAGTTGTGCAAGTAGAAAGCTCTAAAAGAGAGATCAAAGAAAGCTTGGTCTGAAGTCATAAGAAATGACCTAAGAGCTTACAATTTGACAGAAAACATTGCTCCTGATAGAGGATAATGGCAAGATAGGATTTACTTAGCCAACTCCAAATAGTTGGGAATAAGGCTGGGTTGAGTTAAGAGAGTTGAGAATGTGGATAACATAAACATGATCACAAAAACAAAACAGCAAGAAAGAATAAGAAAAAAGAGCAACAAAATATCCTTACTGCAAAGCTGGGCCCGGAGGCCCCCAGTGTAATTCAGACCTCCATACCTTACTCTTGCAAGTTAGTCTTTAGAAGTCAAATCCTCTAGACATTACCTTAAAGCATGTTCATTATCTTCACTTACAATGCTTATGGTCAGGTATCTTGCTGACCTGATTTTGCTTTGTAACCTCAAGTTTTCATCTTAATAAAATGTTTAAGTTACCTAACAAAAAATGTTTATTATCTCCACACGTGTAATAAATGTTTTGACTTTTCTATTTTCAGCAAGCCAACTTTTGCCAAATAGGTTTGAATATGAGAAACTGTACTCTAATTCAGCATTTCATGGGTACTGTTGTCAAACTGAAGTGAGAAAATGGGCCAACTCCAGAGGATTTACCACCTGCCCAAGGGACAGCTTACCTAGTGACCTAGTCGCTGTATGGACTAGTGAGTTACCTCATTTTTTATGTGTATGCAAAAATAACAACAAAATCCCCCTCTTCTAGTTCCTTTTAAAATCAGTCTTTCATTTTTTTTTCCATCAGTGCATGTCCATTTACGTACTGTGGATGGGAACATTGTATTTTAACTTCAAAACATGAAAGTTTACTGCTAGCAAACCCCACAAGAAGGCAGTACAGCAACTTCTATTTCCTTAATAAATAAAATCCTACAGTTATTGATCATAAAAATTCTCTAATCAGCTTCAAATGGAAAAGCACAATATCATAGGATTGAATATAGAAATATAAGTACCTCAAAAAAAAAAAAGAATATAGAAACATAAGATGGGCTTTCCTCACCTCTGGCAATTTGCTGAGACGATGATCAGGTCCAAGAGCCTGTGATTTAATATTCTGCCACTGACGAACTAGACTTTCTGCAAACCTTGCATCCATTCTGGGCATGTCCTCCACAGCTTTTTCATCTGCAGGGAGTGAAGTATCAAATAATTAGATGTAACTTTCACAGAAAACAATCAGCACAAGTAGAAGCCAAACCATATCCAACAACATAGTGGGAATCCATGAACATAAAAAAGAACAACAAACCATAACCACAACAAGAAAAAAGAAGCAAGAACCCATATTTACATGGTCTAGCATGACATTTTTTAGGTAATAAACTAATGATTTACACAGTCTAGCATGATAACCTACATCCACGGGAGACAGCAGCATAAAGACATAATCAGAAAATAGAAGAATGCAAACAGACCTGAAAACAAATTTATACCGTTGTACACCCAGTGTCTCAAAGTTCACACCTCTTCTCTCTTGCGATAACCAAAGAACAACAAATGGCTTAAATAAGCCCATACCAGATGGCTTGTTGGACAATCCATACACTGGATGGCTTGTTGGACAAGCCACATAAAATGACAGGAATTATAGCCCCAGCAAACTGGAAATTAGAATAAAACCCAGGATGGAATGAAAGAATACCTAATATCCTCCAATAGATGTGCATTAGAAGTTGAGTGGAAGTTCCCTACCAAGAAAAGATAAAAAATAGAAATGGAAAAAGGAAAAGAAAACATAAAAGAGAAAAAAAAAAAAGAAAGAAAGAATTAACTGCCTATGCCTCTATTCCCAGGAGAATCTTGTAGCCCTGCATAGTTAAGTAGTCAACAAAAAAAAAAAAAAACCTTCTCTTTTTATTAGAAACATTGAGACACATGCGAACCCCACAGAAACTCCAATTTGGTGACACCATACCTGGCTAGATTGTCTGTTGCAGAGTTGGTAGACTTTTTTGAGAAAAGGTAAAAGTATATTGTATTGAAAAGTAATTAGAAGAGTGGATAAAGATGCCACTCCATACAGTGTACTGTACAGTAAGCGAATTGTCCCCTGATGAATACTTACAAAAAGTGCTTAAATCAAGATATGATTTGGATTAAAAAAAAAGAGTAAGGGGCTGTTTGGCAAGTCTTTCTAAGTAAATCTTTCAACAGCCCAATAGACAAGAAGATGCACTGAGCTTTTGGGGTCTTGTCTTTAAAGACCAAGACAGTCTGGTTAGCGTCATGGTCTACCGCGCTGTTAAAAATAGCTGGGAAGGCCATTTTCAGTGCGGAAAGACCAAAAGCTTCATTTGAAGCTTTCCTGATTTTCAGCTTTTAAAGTCTTTCCGTGCACTCGCCTTTGGGTCTTTCAGTCTCAATACTAAATGGAAAAGACCATTTTTTGGTCTTTTGAGCTTTCTGCAGACCGATAGATGCGCCAAACACCATCTAAGTTGGTATGCTGTGATATTCCTTGCAGAAAAAGCCATGAATGACACTAAACCAAAGTATTCTTCAAATTTTCATCCACCCATACCATAATGCCAACTAGTGAGGACACCAATCATAGTTTTAGGAAGTACCCATCTTAAATTGAAAATTTATGGACCAATATTTTAAAACATGGAAGCCTGACACAAGGTGTTCCACAACTTGGAGGCGCGAGGTGTAAGTCCCCTGAGCACAAGAAGGAAGAAGGAGAAAGAGGAGCTCTTGCTTTTCTTCTTTCTTTCTTTCTTTCTTTCTTTTGATAAAGTTTATTCTTCCTTCCTTCCTTCCTTCCTTGCTTGCTTTCTTTCCTTCTTTCTGTATGAAGCATGCATGCCTCATGCAAAAGGTGTTTGAGGCATACGCCTTAGATACATCAACGCCTCCAGTACACGCCTTAGGGTGTTTTGAGGGCACCTCACCCAGAGATATGCCTCCAAGCATATGCCTCCCACATCTTTTAAAACATTGCCAGGGACAACATCTTGGTGCTAATTGGGCAACATATAGAAAAGCAATTCTTCCACATAAAAATTACTGAGGGACCACAGCCTGGTGCAGGTATCTAGGAATGGTTTTTGTCTCTCCAAATCCCTCTTTCTTTAGGCCTCCAAAGAGAAGAGGGAGAGTGTTACAGAGATGCACAAGGGGCAGCCATAGTTTGGCCTATTTAGGAGGAAAGAAATGACAGGATTTTCAAGGAAAAGAAAAGATCTAGAAGTAACATCATTGACAGCATAATCATCAAGGTGATCCATTGGGTAAAAACATTAGAATTCTGATAATTTTTCAACGGAGGGCTTTGTTTGAGAGTGGTATTGGATTACTAACTCTGCAGTGCCAAGACAAGCAATAGAAGCTCATTGGAGACCACCAGAAGCACATCAAATCAAATGGAATTTTAGCAGCAGGAGAAGCAGCATAGGTAGCTTGTAACCTTTGGGTTTTGGAGTGGTCTTTAAGGACCATCATGACACAGTTTTAGTAATGTACTCAGGCCCAGGAGGCCACAGTGATTCCACCAGAACAGAGCTGAGTAGCTGACAGCTGTAGTTCAAGATCTAAGAATAGCATGATCTTTGGATCTTAAGAACCTAACTGTGGAAGGTAATTCAAGAATGGTTATAGGCTAGATAAAAGCAGAAATCAAGTTCCTTGGAAGCACCAGAACATGATGAAGGTTGAAGGAAATACAAAGCTTGGGAAGGGGCAGAATCAAGGTTCAAAATATCGCAACATATAGGTGCATATTGACCAATACGTATTGGTTTTCAGGGTCACCAATACTCTAAATAGGTAGAGTTAGGTGCTTTTAATCATTTTAGTCATTATTTTAGTTTTTTTTATCAATATTTTTTTTAATTGATATGCCCTGTCCCCTGTCAGGTTATCATGTCAAAAGAGTAAGAAGAGAATCAAAAGATAAGTGTTTCAATTGAAATAACCTCTCAATACACAAATTTTGCATATCAAGAGTATTGATACCTTGAACCTTGGGCAGAACTATAGGAATTGTATGAGTATGTAGATCAGCTAACAGCATGGCTGAAGTTTTGGCTAGAAAGGGTGTGAATAGAGATGTCTTTGGGAATTTATAATGAGGTTAGGAGGTGAAAAGTAAGCAAAAGGATGAGGTTAGGTGGCTTGGCCAGCCTAAATTGTAGAGCACTTGTCCTTGTACATTTGCTACTGATTCATTTTTCTTAATAAAAATGTAAGTTATTAATCAAAAAAATTACTATATTTTCATCATATCACCAAACATAAAGAGATCCACATAGAGAACCTTGATAAATATAGTGGGTTAAGGAAGTGGAGAAGATAAGGTTGTCAAAGGAAGTTTAAATATTGGAACATGATAGAATTTTAAGAATAGGAATGGTATGAAAGGAATTCCCCCAAAAGTTCCAGGCCATTGGAGAGGTAAATTGTAATAAAATTTCTTATGCCTCTTCAACAGCACAAAATGGAAAAGTAAAGGCTACAAATACAAATACAAAAATAGGCTAACATATCTATCAGTGATTTTTAATTAATTGTTTTCTTTTCACTTTTTTTTTCTGCTCAACAACATGGTAAAGTACAAAACCACAAGTGGTGCCTGATCAGATCAACTTCCATTATCTGTCTAAATTGGACTATTGGCCCTCCAAGCATGGTAGCTCCAGCAAGTGGGGAAGAGGAAGAAGTCACAACTATTGACAACTTTCTGGATATGGAGATTCATTTATAAAGGTCCACTAAACCTCCAACAGGCAGGGCAAGGAAGACAGCTGAGCCTTGTACCCCAAAATGCAGAGAAGGGTGGGGGAAGGGGGGCAAGAGAGAAGGGTCAACTAAATGGCACAAAAAATCAAGGAGAAAAGTAGAAAACAAAAGAAACCCCATTCCCTTATAAGGGAATAACAACTGAACATGTAACCAAAACTAACCCCCCCATAAACCCATGGTGAACCAGCAACAGGCCCCATGTTCCAAGTATGCATTTCTAAGAGGAAAGAAGAGCAACATGATGATGACTGAGGGATGGGCAAGCAGTTCAGGCCACAATAATATCATGGTTTCTTTAGAAGTTGAAAGTGTAATATCGTCAACTTTTGCAACAAGAATGAGAAATAAAAGTTTTGTCATCATACCCAAGCTGATTGCATCAGCAGCCATAACTGAAGTATCTCTTTGTAGAACCAATGACCCATTTCTAGTTGGTAAATACTTCAAACCTGCCAGAGTCACCAGTCCGACAACCACACCAGCACACATAATCTTCACACTGGCATCTTTTATTTTTTCAGTCATCCACTGTTTGTCAGTATTATAACTCATTTTCTCATACACTTCCTCTGAACTGCCAGAATTTTCTCCATTAGGTTTGTCATCAGGCTCCACACTCTCTATGGCAGAAACAAAAGCGCTGTTATCATAATCCTCCTCTTTTCTCATCCTTCCTTCCTTGTTACCCACTGGAAACACCTTCTGCAATGCAAGCATTGCACTTGCCTTCACATTATCAAGCACTGCTGTTGTGGCTTCAGCCCCTATTCTTGCTATGGCTGCTGCAGCAGCTAATGGTGAACCACCAACTCCCTCCATCCTTTCTAGATATCTCAGGACAGTTGGGTCATCATAGTAATCACCAAGTTTGAACTGTATTCTTTCAGTATCTCTAAACCTGGGAAAAACCACCTCCATCAGCCAAGTTTCCAACAGTTTGCAAAGCCCATAAAGACCACTATCGTTATCATCCTTAGAATTTTCCAGAACAAATTCAACAATGGATGGGTCTCTATAAGGTGAATTTTCATTGTTTAAGCCCAACCATGAGCGGCACTCATCAATGTCTCCCACAAGAAGTGAACAGAGGCCCCGTTCCAATGCAAAATCTACCTCACGATCTACTCTTGCCACATACTCAGAGACAGCAGTTCCTAGAGTCGTCACCTTTGTCTGCTGAAGTTGTTGGAATAGGTTGCCAGCATCTCGGATCAGATGAGGCTTTTTACCCACAAAGGCCTGGGCAACAAGGGCAAGTGCCACCCCATAAACTTCAAAACTTTCTGCTGGAATATTACTCGGTGTTGCAGCAAATAGATCCACCTTCACAGCACAAAAAGGAGAACAAGATTATCCTTGGGAGAAAAAGCACAAACAAAGAGTTGGGAAGCTTTTAAGACAAATTCTAGCAAACAATACAAGGGTGCACCACTCAACCCCAAGTAAAGGACAAAACTGATAAGCATAGGAGCCCTCAGAAAATAGGTCAACTTTGTCTTTATTCTGCCTTTTCGCAGTGCTGAAGTCAGCTCATGCAGCACGGTGCTGCTTGCTAGCATTATCCAAAAAAATAATGTAATGAACACACCTGCTCCACTGCTGTCATACGAGAAAAGGCTTCGTTCATAAAATCTTCACGAGTGAATCCCCCTGCAATAGCAGCTGCGCCCCCTCCTCCAACAGCCCATAAAATGTTGCGGACACCATGAAGACCCTCCTCTCGTCTTGTCTTGTGTTCTTCATCAAGAGGTAAAGCTAAAAGCTCCAGAACACAACGTGGTGTGATCTCTTCCAGTGTCTCATCAATTTGTGCCTGTAGATCTGGTGCAAGGCCACTTGCACCTTCTTCCTGAGATTTCACAACTGAAAGCATTTTATATACAAATAAACTGTACCATCTTAAAGGGATGATTATTAAATTAGTGCCCATCATTTCTGTTGATTCTTTACAGCTAAGAACTCGTTTCAATATCTCACACAAGACTTTTGATCCCTAGGATGCATGATCCAGTGTTTCAGGCTAGCTGCACCAGCATTTAATGTCCATTATGTCACTTCTATCACTGTTTATTATGAAACCACAGGAATAGCAAAAATGTTACCTTCAAACACTACGACAGATAATAGAAAGTGAAGTTTAACAACTCTTTCTTACATTCAACTTAGATCCAAGAAGCCATCAAACTCTCATAGAAATAAAGAGAATCAGCGAAATTGACACACAAACTTTAACACCAAACAAATAACACTGTGCATTACTAAAATAGAAAGTGTTAACAATGTCATGATTTCCAGTGATCAAAAAAGGTAACAAACCACACTCACCAACCACTCCATCATGTCCACTTGACAAATGCATAGTGGGCAACTGCAATTTGTAAGCACCAAGGAGAAAATAATGCTACCATGTTAATTACTACTAAAGCCTTGTTACATAGCAATACATCTATTCCAAAGAATGGCAGAGTCAAGGGAATGGACAAATGGCAAAGATAAGTAGCAAGAAAACTTTTCTTTTTATCATCATTCAAAGTCCAATCCTGTCAAGGATAATAAATCACTTAATTTGACCCTTCCAAAGTTTGCAATTTCAATTATTCAAAAAATGAAAACATTCTTGCAGGACTTCAGAATGATGTGTAGTTTTCAGTTTGAGGTAATAGAGTAAATAGATTTGTCTGTGTATGTGAGTGTTTGTGTGTGTGCATGGAAACTAAAAGATTGTTAATTTTTTTGAAAAGGAAAGATTGTTAATGTAGACATCATTAATGCTTAAAAACCAAAATAACAGCACTAACCATATATATCGAGTATGTCAGTATGACAAGTAAAATAAAACAAACTCCTATCGATGGCTATATTTCATTGACATTCAAAATAATATCTAGTTAAATGTGATATTGACCTAAATGCATCTCAACTTTGCTGAAAAATCAAGTTTATAATGCAATTTTTTATTTTTTGTGATGTTGCCCCAAAATATTGCCAATATCCCTTTCTAATAATGTAATTCTAGGATTTCCTTTGATATATATTTGAAAGACCCCCTTAAATGGGAAATTTTGTGGGGATACATTCCAAAATTTTAGGGAATTTTCAAACCATGGTACAGTTATCCTAATCCCCCCCCCAATATGTTAATACCTGACAGGCAAAGGCCATCAGGTATTACCAATCTGTGCCTTCTGGGAAGAATCCCTTTCTGACAGAAAGTAGACTATCAAGTTTTCCAATTGGCCTGTTAACATGATTTAGGCAAATTTTCTCTAAAGGCCCCATAGCTCTTTGTATTTTAACGTGATTTGTGATTTCAATTCAAGATCATAGAATTACAACATGGTATCATGATTTTTATGTATTTCACTTTCTGATATGATATTCATTGTCCATAACCAACTAGCTGAACCAAACTTAATGTCACTGCACATTGTTAGGGAAATCCTGGTTTTGCTCCATCAAAGGCATATCTAAGCTTTGATTTCAAGATAGGTTTCAACCTACACCAGAAGCAAAAATGTGCAATATATATATATATATGAAATTCCAAAAATTTTGCTTTTTTCTTGCCCTTTTCTTCTTATTTTCTCTCCATTATTTATCCAAACTTCCTATTTATCATCTTCTTGCGCACTTCAAACTCTCTCACACAGTCCTTCATGTTGGCCGCTTAATATCCTTTAATTCAACTTTTTAATTAGTGATTCAATCCATATTTCGTTACAGTAATTGCCAAACCCAGGCAAAACGTTGAAATTTTGAACATCTCTGATTCTCTATGAAATTTAAGAAACCCATGGTATACTACTAGTCAAGGTTGTCTATGTTATCATGCATGTCTTGATTATATGATTAACTATGCAGCTGAATGTTGGGTCTTCAAAAGTAGACAATTACAAGTTAGATGCATGGGTTTTATCCATATCATTATTACATTTGATTTTGTGAATACCATCTACCAGTGGCACCAGCAAAGATGACAACTGATAGAGCCTCCCATGCAGGCTGCACTCTATTGCTTTCGATAAGGCCAATTAGATGTTGATGGCAGTCAAAAGCAAAGGTATATGTCCATTCCTCTCGCAATGTTGAGGAATGATTTCTCGTTAGCTAATAAGAAGCAATTTTCACCGAGTATCTTCTCTATACTAGAACTAGAAGATAAAGACAAATTACACCGGGCAAAGTCAACTTCATAATGAAAATAAAATTACCTTCAATTAACACATACATTATTAATTAAGAAAATAGTAAGATAAGACAAGACAAAGTGATTATCAAAAGATTCACCTGTAACAGATTTAAAGCCCTTTCAAGCATTTCACAGCTTTTAATAAAATCTGGAGGAGACAATGCCATGGCATCCCTAGAGAGGTCTACATAGGCCAGAGCCATTGCCAGCACAACATCTTGCTTGAACGACTTTGGCAGCCTTTCTCTCAGCAAACCCTCGCCTATGCGAAGTACAACCTCAGTCTCCCCTGCTTCTTGCAACACACAAAGAGCTCCAGGGACCTACAGAGATGAAAAGGAAAATCCACAAAAGCAATCAGCTTACCTTCAGATGAAATTAAAATGGGGGCGGGGGAGTATTGTCAACAAAATGTACCTTATCCCAAGGGACTTGTGTGATAAGAGTGCCATCTTGGTCTTCAAGAAGACCTTGGTTGTAGTCTCCTCTTGTCCTAGGGTTTGCTAGGGTTTCACAAGCGGCTTGAAGAATCTGCCTTCGACTGATTAAGGCGTCTTGACTGAAGCCATATTGGGGTGGTTTGGAAATCCTAGAATCGTAAGCTCTTCTTATACCGTCTCCCAGGTAGTGAGTTTCAGCTCCTAATATCTGTAATTGATTACAAAAAGCATCTATGTATTACATGTATTTAATAAATGCTTTCAGAATATAAAATAAGAAAAATGCAAATTAAGAAGTGATAGTGCAAGTGAACTTCGTCGAAAACCTGATAGAAGTCGAGAGGGAGGGGAATGTGCCTCTCTGGAACGGCGGGTGGAGGAGGGAGGAGTGAAGTCAGAGCGACGTTTGAAGTGGAAGAAGAGGAGTAGTAGTCGGAGGGATCTGAAGTGGTGGTGCTGGTGGTTGAGGGAATGAATTGGAAGTCGCCGAGGAGACGGTCGGCCCATTTGCTCGTGTAGCAGGTGATTGGGGATGAATTAGTAGTATTCGGACCACTACCCCCAATGGTGCAGAGCTTCTTAAGTCTCCTCTTTGGAACCAACCTTGGGCTGCATAGACCCAGACCCAAATGATTCAAGGTTTCCATTGAAATGACAACTCTCGGAGTCTCTCTCTCCCTCTCTCACTCTCGGAGGCTTCACGTTGGCTTTGTTGTTCAGCTGGGTTCTGTCAGGCGTCAGCGGCGAAAAAATCCTGTTTCAATTAACAAGTTATTGATGAAAAAACGCAGTGAATCTTCATACACATGGCAACTCCGTAAGAGATCTTCTGATGCCTCTTTGGCTGCCATGGATGAGGAGGCAATGTCAGGTGGATAATTTCCCGTTCTCTTTCCGAAATCCGGGTTTCGACTTTCGAGCCGGGTTGGCGAGAAAATATCATCAAAAGAGCTGCAAATGGATACAAAAGAAAAAATTTCTGCACTCACGAATAACAAATGGCCACGTCGATTTTTATAGATAATTGCAACTTAACGGAATCCAGATTATTGACGGAAGTCCGGACTAAAAAAACTTGAATTTTCTTAAGGCTCTGTTTGGAAAAAGTATAAATATATATATTATATATTTATATTTGTACTCCTTTTAAATTAATTCTAAAGGATAAATCTAAGATTTAGAAAATTGACTAACTCTACCTTTATTTTATCGTTAATTTTTGGTCACATGTAACACCATGTAATTGATATATTTTTCAAAATTTTGTAAAATACCCTTGTACCTCTATTCAGACGATATCCGTACTCCCTCATTTTTTACCTGTACCTATACCTATACAGGTACAACAATAATCTGTTCCTCATCGAAGGCTCAGGCAAAATAACCCAACGGGCTTCTTCTTCGTTGCCTACTTCCTCCACCGTTGGTGAATGTCCTCCCTTTAATTATCAGTACGAACATGAACAGTTCCTCATCGAAGAGGACCATCAATGTAGTCCATGCACCTCCATCGTTGTGGGTGAATGCCCTTCCATTCCTCTTCACAAATCTCCACTTCCTTCGTCTTCACCTAATGTTCTTCTGCCCAATATGGTGGATATTGTCCCCATCGTCACCCCTTCAGAAGAACAAGACAATGAGAACATCAAATCTGTTGTCGTCGGTACTATTCCCTCCTACTCGTTCGAATCCAAGTTAGGAGATTGAGGTCTCTTGTTGGTTTACCTTTGGAGGGTTTCAACTACGATTTTATATATTTTGGGAGTTTGATTGAGCAAAACAAAATAACTAGATCCGTAGCAATTAGGGGTGAGCATTCAGTTTATTTAGTTAAAAACTAAATTGAATAAATTAAAATTTTTAAAAATAAAATAAAAAGATGAAAATTGAATCGAAACCGGATTACAAGAAAATCGAAACCAAAAAATTCGATTCGGTTTTTGGTTATTTCGGTTAAAAACCAAATTTAATTAATATATAAAATATTATATATTATAACATATAATATTATATATATATATATGAAATTGAATTCTATTATAATATATTAATATATAAATATATAGCATATTATATACTATATGTTATATATTGTATATTATATATTACATATTATATAATGAATTTCAGTTAATTCGATTTTTTTTGTTAACCGAATTTTTAAGTATGAAAACCGAAACCAAAAACCAAACTAGTCGAACTGAATTACCCAAAAACTAAAAAAACAAAAATTTTAATTCAATATTTTGGTTTTAACCAAATAATGCTCACCCCTCGTAAAAGCCAAAAAGGTACAGTGACTTCACGAAGAAAAATTGGCATGCAAAATTATAGAAAAGAAATGAATCAAAAATGACCCATATGGAGAGAGAAAGGGAAGGGCAATATTCTAGGCTCTCTTCCTTCTCCTCATATTAAACCACGTGTTCTCTCTTTCCGAAATGAATTCAAAATAAACATTCAGCTTCCAAGCTCCAACAACATCATCCCCAACCTTCAATCGAATCCTCAACACGTCTGCTCTTAAATTGCGGCCATACCAGATTTTGGGCGTTATTACGGGTTTTCTCTGATTGAAGCATTTTTCAGTAAGATTTTCCATCTTATCTCTTAAGATCCTGCGTTTGAATTTTCTTTTTGGGTTTCCTTGAATTTGGAATTTGGTATCTAGGTATTGACGAATGGATCAAATTGATGTTTCACCTTTTTTTTTTGCCAGAAATCATGAGAGATCTTAATGGTCTCGGCAAGGTTAACGTATGATCTGGAGTGCATAGAGAAATGGGTATTTTCCGGCAAGAATAACGTATGTATTTGGTATAATTTTTGTTTATTAAATAAATATTTGTACTTGATTTGTCTTCAAAACCAAAAAAAGTACTTGATAAATCATTTATTGACAATTAGGAGCCATTAGGCGCCACATTAACAGAACATTGAATAAATGCTCAGTCGTTGGGGGAAGCATTAAAATGAAGCTTCCCCCAACGGTTGGTGCGCACATAGATCAAGACCTACTTTTGTGGATACCTATGCGTACGAATAAGCATGACGGGATAAATGTTGATTTGGTAATGACATGGCACCATTTATCAAAATAATATTTATATTTTTTTATGTATAATAGTAAATAATTTTTATAATTCTTAACTTTTGTATGTAAAATAAAATAATTTTTATTTTTCATATGTATAATAATAAATTATTTTTATAATTCTTATTTTTTGTATGTAAAATAAAATATATTTTTATATGTATAATTTTTATTTTTTAGATAAAACTTGGCTTGTAGTCAAGCTCGAGCCAAGATGATTTCGAACTTGCGAGCTTTGAACCGAGCCGAGTTCGAAATCAAGTCTCTAGCTCGAATCGAGTTCAAGCTCAAGCCTAAGATTATTTTAGAGAGTCAAACTCGAAAGCAAAGTATTCAGCTAAGCTCGGCTCAAATCCACCCTAGATGTTGGTCCCTAAAGACAAATATTTCCCTATCCTTTGCTAACAACTTTCCATTGTGAGGGTACCTCTGAAATTGCTAAATACCCCCAAGCAATGTTTTTGAACCTTCGTTGACCCAAACGGTCAGATCGTTTGGCCCGAAAACTGTCCAAACAATCAGTTTCGTTTCACCCCTAACCCGTTCTTGACTCAAAAACCGTTGGTTTTGTTAGAAAACCGCTGACCTGGGTGGTCGAACCATTGACTCGTTTGACCCGGACAGTAGTAGTTCACAATTTAAGAAAATTGCAAAGAGGGGAGAAACTGAGAGTTTGAGACATGAGCTCAGATCTAAGATCCAGCACACACACACACACAGAAGAAGAAGAAGAAGAAGAAGAAGAAATTGTAGAGAAATTACCTCATATCTAAGATCCGAGGAAAATCGACCTCAGGTCTGAGATCCAATAACTCATATCTCAAATCTGTCATCTGTGCCTATTACTGCCGCCTCGCCATCGCCGTTGCCATTATTGTCACCAATGAGTGTTGAATCATCTTCCTCCTCTTCCTTCTTCTTCCCTCCTTCCCTCCTCCTCCTTTTTCTTCTCTCCCTCCCTTTTTCCTTCATTCCTTTCCTTTCTCTCCTTTTCCCTTTTTCTTTTCTCCTTCCTTTCTTTATTTCCTTCTTTTCTTCTTTCTCAACCAATAACAATCTATTGACTCTCTTCTCCAATTCTCCTTTCTCATATAAATATTTGCCCTAATGCAAACCGTTCGACCCAGACAGTTGAACCGTTGACCTGAAAATTGGTAGCTAGAATGATTTCATTTATAGGTTGGTTTTTAAAACCTTGCCCCCAAAAATCATACTCCTAGACAAATCTACTTGTGTTGAGAATGGCTATCCATCAGTTCCCAGCTAAAAGTCGTTGAGTCTTGTGGGTTCCGAGGTATATCTCCATTGAATAAGGGCAAGTTGTGTGATGCTCTAAAAACTATTGCTTAGTCTGATCATATATTGTCAATAAACTAAATAGAATAATAATTAGAGTGATGAAGATGAACATTATGTTTTGATCAATTGGTTGTGGTGGTTAAAAGAGAGGAAAGAAGAAGGAGATAGATAGATAGATAGAGAGAGAGAAATGATGATGATGATAGTTCTATTGTCTTGATTCAATGGGGAAATAGGTGGGGGAAGAAGAAATGGTGACGGATGAGGGAAAGAGAAGAGTTGGAGAGGCATGGGCTAAGGGAGAGGAAATGGTAAAGGGAGTCTAAAGAGCGGGTAATAAAATTAAACTTTTTAAAGTTCATACTCCCATTAAGTTAGGACTTTGTTAAGTTGGAATTCCAAAAGCTAAGTTAACGTGGCAATTTTCTATTTGTTGTTGCAAAAAGTTTTTTGCAACGTGGGTGCAGACAATGTGAGTTTGATACAAAGTGATTCATTCTTTTTCTTATATATGCATACAGGAATGAAAATCAAGAAAACCTAAGAAAATTGGGCAAATGATAAGAGCATAAGAAGTACAAGATATCATGTGAACCGAACATTTTTTCCTCCTTGCTCATTCTTTCAATAACAAGGTCCCATTTGGTTCGCACAAATAGGGGTCTAGAATTGGAATTGGAATGGGTGATTTCATATCCAACTGTTTGGTTGGGCAGAATTGGAATTTCATTCTCATTCATGGTGAAATGGCACTCCCCCATTTAAGGGAATGGTCATTCCCTCTTCTTCCCTTGGGAATGAAATCCCATTCCAATTTATTTCAATTTCCATTTTGATTCTTGTCTGAACCAAACAAGTTATGGAAATAGACCATTCTGATTCCAATTCTAAAGAATTTTGATTTCCATTCCGATATTCTGACTATAAACCAAATAAACCCTAGAAATGATTCCAAAATTGTTACTAATACTTTTATGATTGTACTCCTTCTATTTGGACTATTTTGGATAACAACAGGTTATGCGGAAGCTCTATCTCCTTTCATTTTGTTAAAAGAGAGGCAAATGCGTTGACTCATCTTTTGGCTTCTCGGGGTCTATATGGCCAAGTTTCTACCTATTGGAAACCCCCCCCCCCCTACTAATTTCCTTCAAGATGATCCGAACTTTGATATGCAAGATGGAAGTCTCCATCCCCCATAGTGTATTTTACTTGTTTAGTTCCTCCGTTGTTTGTTTATTTATGTGCTTTTTTAACTTTTCTTGGTTTGGTTGGGTTTGTTTGTTGTTTGGTGTTTATTTTTCGTAATACAAGTTCTTCTTACAAAAAATGAGTAAAATGAGAAAATGTCACTACCAACTAAATGCTTCTTTTTCAAAAAAAAAAAGATTTTTTATGACAATAATGAAAATAAATTTTGAACCCATTTGGTTACAATTTTCATTTTCGTTCATTTTTTAAGCAATTAGCACTAGACATGTTCACATGTCAGGTTTAGAGCTTGACTTTACACTATGTTGGGTTCAGATTTTGGGCTAGGACTATT